GCCATCCACTGACACTGGATGTTGCCTCATTTTTGTTTTTCCTAAGGATAGTTATTCTTTAAGTGTAATAAACCTTATAAGTGAGAGAGGGAAGAATAAGATATTGATCTTTATCAAAACTATGTAATACAGTGAGAATTATATCTAACATAAATAGTTATTACAAACACTTTGGCATGAATTCCATGCACATCGMATCTCCCAGTGAAGTAGAGAGAATGGAAACCTAAAGGAAAGGCTTTCTTAAGGCTTTGGCCTAGTATGTCCAAATAAAGACTGTTGCCACGTGACTGATTTTCTACCAGTGCATCCTAGTGGAGTTTGCAGATCACTACAGTCTTTCCTAATTCTCTTTGCCTCTTCCACACTGCATGCTTCATGRATTGGCTTCATGGATTGGAAACAAAGTCACTAGTTTCTCCCTTCCCAGCTTTGCCTGAGGCTGTGCCCTCCTCTCATGAGCTTTGCCTAATTTCAGTGTGTCCTTTAAAATATCTGATATATCAAACATTTTACAGAGTTCACATTTTAAGATTACCTAATCTGGTAAATCAGTATAATAAACCATAGATTCAAATGTAGTGAGGAGGCTTCAGTCATTCAACCAACAATTATTAGCCTAGGCCCATGGCAATTCAGTRGGAAACAAGGCCAAATTCCCCAGATGTCTTTGTTCTCTACATTCTGATCCTTCTGTATCTTCTGTCTGTATAGCMTTCCTCTAAATGGGAAAGGATGACCACAGGCATCAGAATCACCTGGCCAGGCCCCATCGTAAACCCACTGCTCAGAGGTGGTGTGAGACCCTGAAGTTTCTTTGCAACTTTCTCATGTATGCCGCAGTTTGAGAACTGCTGTCTCCCATGAATTCCCTTGGTGACTGTCCAAGATTTTCCTCTGCCCTCAGTGTCTGTGTTGATTGCTGCTGCCCTCAATTAAGGTGCCAGATTGTAATGAAGCCATATTCTAGATTTAGGTTTTCTTAGGTTTTTACTGTGTAAGCATCAACATTGCTAATACGCACTTCATCCATAAGGTGTTTCTCTAAGTCCATATATGATTTTTGGCAATGGGCTTGGGCTTGAGGAGATTACCAGGATGCAATAGCTTTCAAAAGGATAAATTATAGGAGATTAGTTTTCTCTAGGGAAGGTGGGAGTGGGTGGTTGAAGATAATTCCTAAATCACAGAATGAGATGACAACTGGAAAATCTTGAAGCAGTAACTTATTTCCTGTGTATCAATTCCTCTTTCCTGTATAGATTTTATCATTCTGCATCCACAAATTGTGGTTCTCAGAAGTGATTCTTGTGCCTGTGTTTCTGTGGAAGAAATCAGTCATTTGATCATTTGTGGGAGCAGATTGCAAACTATTCTTGGCTATTGAGTTGGACCACCAAGATTTGAAATAATCCCATATTCAGAAACTGAGTCATGAGTAAAAAAATAAATAAAACCAGAGGAGCCACATGGTTCTAGATTTATTAGAAAAAGTCAATTAAAAAAATAACTTCCCTCACCTGACTCCACAGTTACTCAGCACAATGAAGGAGGAAAGCTGTATGAATACTTGCAACTGGCTTAGAGACCTGGCTGCTAGGAAGCTGTATTTCCATACTGAGTTACCATGGAAAGCTCTGGAAGCTACCTATGGAACTTGGGCTGAAATTTATAGGCATAAATGAGAATCTTTTGAAGTAGAGTCATTTTAAGATCTTTCTAGCCCTGAGAAGTCTTACTTTTGGATGCCTATTAAACTACATGCCACAGTAGATATTTTTGCTGAAGAAAAATATTAAAATCACTTTTTACATTTATCTCTTAAATTTTGGCCTAGGAGGCAATCACTTAATTTTGATTGGCTATGATTTCTTAGCACTTATGCAAATTTGAGGATTCTTATGAAATGTTAAAAGGTGACCTGTAATTTTTAAAATAGTAAAAATTGCATAAATATTAAATTAATGAAACTCATCAATATAGTCTATGGACATGTAATTAAACCCCCCTTTTTTAGTTTTTATTTCACAATTTGGTTCCATAACATTTTTCAGGTCTCAATATTTTCCAAAACTCATGAAAATCTTATAAGCCTAAGCCCCTTTGTGCTCAATGATAAAGATGCCCCAATAAGAGTCTAGAAATAAGGACTGCATGCTGCATTAAAGAGCCATAAGAATCTGCTAAAATTCTAGAAGTCAGGAGAATGCTGAAGCAGAATTTTTTGGAATATTTTTCTGATTCAGGCCTTTCTAGAGCCTTGTTCTTCAAAGGCTGAGTTAGGGACCAACAGCATCAGCATTACCTGGAGCTTGTTAGAGACACAGAATCACAAGTCCCACTCCAGGATGGGTGACTCATAATCTGCATCTTAACTAGGACATCAGGCACCCACTAAAGTTTGAGAAATGCTGCTCTAGTCTAAAACAGTGGTTGTCAGCTCTGGATTCACAAAGGAATTATCTGGCAAACCTTTGTACCCCAGACAAATCATTTTAGAATCTCTGGCTAAAGGTATTATCCAGACATCTGTATTTTTTTTTTTCAGTTGTAGATAAATGCCATACCTTTATTTATTTTATTTGATGCTGAGGATTGACCCCAGTACCTCACATATGTGAGGCAAGCACTCCACCACTGAGCCACAACCCCAGCCCAGACATCTGTATTTTGAAGCTCAGGTGATTCCAATTCACAGTCCAGATTGAGACACACTGTACCATAGCAATACCAAAGAGTTTCCATGTTGTTTACCAGTAAGTGCTACAGTTCAGGAAGCCATGGACATTGTTTATTTGGGACCCAGCATATACATAACAATTTGGTAACACTTGCATGGAATAAGATCTCTTGGTTGAGTTTGTAAACTTATTTCCAGGACGTTAGGCCTAATTGGCTAAATCCCAGATATGTCATGTTTCACTAATACTCGAGGATATTATTTCTGAACAATAATCCAAGATTGAATTTTTGGACCAGAAGACAATTTGCTATGTCAGACTCTTGTAGTAGAACTATATGTATTTCTCTACTGAACTTCAAAGCAGAAAGTTTCTACTTATAGCCATGTTAAGGATACAAAATTTCAGTTTCTCTTTCTTTGTTTCTTTCTTTCATGCAAATCATGGAACCCAGGGCCTTGTGCATCCTAAGCACATGCTTTATCACTAAGCTATACYCTAAGTACCCACAAATTTTCTTCTTTAAACTTAGAATCCACAYTTCTGCCACATAATAGGCAAAGAGCCACTTCCTTACCTGATAGCATTGTTGTTTTCTGGTTATTAAAATTTAGTTTCATAAAGTAAAATTTGAGTAAAATACTTTGGGAACCTCAGTGATTTCTTCAGTTTCATTATTGGTGTTGCCAGTGTCTATGGAAAATTGTCACTTTCACAAATTTCACAAATTTGCAGGCAATTTGTCTCTTTAATATGAAATTTACTGGTGATAGCTGCCACTTTGGGGGCTGAAGAAACCACAGAAATGGTTTCTTAGTCTTATCATAGATTTTTCTTTATTATCTCTCATACCAAGATTCATTCAGAGGTATAAATGACAACTAGGTAAGACAGTGTCTGTTCATGGTTGAGCATATGCCTGAGAAATGGTGATTTCCTCCTCTTTCCCTTTCTTTAAATTGAACTTCCACATTCAACCATCCAACCCCTTAGCTTATTATAATGTTTCCGTACCCCACAAGAAAGATCTAATAGTGAGCCAGGCTTGGTGGCATACCTGCAATCCCAGAAGCTCAGGAGGCTGAGGCAGGAAGATAGTAAGTTCAAAGCCAGCCTCAGCAACTTAKCAAGGGCTTAAGCAACTTATCAAGACCCTGTCTCTAAATAAAACATAAAAAGGGGCTGGGGATGTGACTCAGTGGTTAAATGCCCTTTAGTTTAATCCTAGGTACAAAAAAGAAAAAGATCAAATAATAAATTTTCTAGCAGATAATAATGAACATTCATGTCTTTCAAAGACTATAAATGTTATTAGTAAATATTCTTCTAATCTATATGAGTACCAAGGTGTAAACTTGATGGGGTGCCATTTTGTTTCATTCTACCTAGGGTCTTGTAGCCATCTCCTTTGATTCTAAATGCTATAATGAGRATTTGGGCCTTATCACATCATAATACTGTGTTGTGTATGCATCTCAGAAGAAGCCAAAGAAGTTTTAAATATCCACCATTTCTGTGTTTTTCCTTAATTTATATTATTTCAGTATAATGCTGTATCTAACATTTAATTAACCTGTTGAAAACACAATTCAATTTTGAATAAATACTTTTTTGGCTATAAAAATGTGCAGATTTTGAACAAATTATGGAACTTTAGAACTAGGCAAGACARTTCACCAAATCCTTTATTAATCTCCCAGCAAGATACATATGCTGTATATGACCCCTAGGTTAGGCTTTCTTCGATTTCTCCTGTATTAGAAATACTCCTTTCTCTGAGTAGCTCTAATATTATCAGCTTTACACAGTTTAGTCCTGGATTACAGACAATTTTATAATTATTGGAAGTCTTATTGCCCTGAGAGTGAAACTGCCTTTTATAGTTCTTGTATAACCTCTAACACTTTAAATGGGGCACAGCAAAAAAAAAAAAAAAAAAAAGTCATCTAATAAATTCATCATATATTTTATCATTTCATTTTTAGGTTCCATTTCTTTCATGATAATCAAAAGGAATGTTAGGTTTCCATTAAGTCATTTTGCCTTGTTCAAAAATTAACAAAAATATTATAAGACATTGTGATATTAATGTGTTTCTGTTTGGAATTCCTGAATCTTCTTGTGTATTGCTTTACAAGGAAACTAACTTCAGTGATAGATTTTTTTCCTTCTGCCTGATGTCTCTTTTGTGAATTATCTGACACCCACATGTTTACTGAAGGAGCTTTTCTTTTATCTTAGTTACTTTTTATTCTTACGTCTAATTGATTTTTACTAAAATGAAGTTTTCAACTTATAATTTATTCTTTTTCTCACTAGTGTGATTATTACAACAGTTCTATACCTCTCAGATGCACTTCGCAAGAACTTCTTAAATGAAAACTTTGATTATAAAGTAAGTATCCATTTAGATGACTGTCTCACTTGGGCTAAAAGATTTGTATTGCATTTTAGTAGATTAACTAATATATTTCCTTGCCCTATATTAATTTTAACTGTGAATAGTATTAGAACACTTTCATTTTATTTGCACACAAGCAGAGCTATAATAATGCTTATCAGCTTGATGGAGATCAATAGTACTTAAAAGAAGATAGATCTTTATTGTTGGTATACGTAATAATTCTTGCTCTTTTCTGTATGATTTAGTTGTATAACAAAGAAGAATTAGAACATAATGTTTTCAAGAATTTTTTTAAAAGTAGTTTATATGAGGAAAAAAATTACGAAGTAAATGCTTGATTTCCTTACTCCTCTAGCTTCCTATGTTTTAGAATTAATCAATGAAAAAATAAGAAATATTTCTAAAAACTGTTTTTCAGGCAGAACTCTCTGTATACTATAATATGAAGTGATAGACCTAGGTGCCTAAAAATTCTTGATTCCTATTTTTTTCAAATGGCAAACAAAGATAGGAATTTTCGATGGTGGATTCTCTTCTCAGTGTGGTTCTGTTTAAGCATCTCTGTGTCTTATCCTTTTTGAATAGCATTTTTCATAAATAAGCATTTAATAAAATGTCCCTTAATGGATAATTAAAAACTATCAAAAAAGCACAAATACAATAAAAACCAATGGGATTTGAATAATTGCATATTTCTTTAAATCATTTCTCATAATAGTATGTCAGAATTTCAAAATCAGAGTTCTAGTTTTCTATATTTTTATCTTCTATTTCATTCTTACAACTACCCTTTTTGGATGCATTCCAAATTTGGCATATGTTCTTAATTGTTTCTTTGGATAAATACTTATTAGTGGAATTGTTGAGTTAAAGGTTGAGCCAGTTGTATTTGATTACCTATTTTCCTAAGTCTACCCAACACTAGAAGAGGCAGCTTTTTCCAACAGTTAGATAAGGGGACCATCTTTTTTGCTTTAATTTGCAATTTCTTACTAGTTATTAGTTATTCACTAGTTACTAGTTATTGATTGAAGTTCATATTTTGTGAATTTTCTGTTCTTGACTTTTGTTTATGGTTTTCCCTGGGTTGGTTTGTTTGGAGATGGGGTTTCACTGTATTTCCCAAGCTGGGATCATATTTATGATCCTCCCACCTCAGACTCCCAAAGTATCTGGAATTGCAGATGTGTATTATTGTGCTCAGCTTGGGGCTTTATCATATTCTTTTTTATTTGTCAGAACTCTTTACATATTACAGATAGTCTTTCCCATATTTCTTATAGCTCATTGTCTATAATTTTACATGGCATCAATTAAGACATAGTTTTTTTCATTAGAAGTTCTACACATTTTTAATGTTTATTTCAGGAAATTATACTCTGATCTATTTCTTATTCTGTATTTTGGTATAAGAAAATATGGACTCAAAAGATTTTCTGGGCAGGGAATTTTTAAGTATTGCCTGAATTGAAAGCAATTAGCATATCCAAAGAAGCATATGCATTTTTTAAAGTTCTACATTAAAAGTAGTTCCAAGACTGAATTCATATAGGAATAAAGTAACCCATCTTATATCTCTGCCTCACAGGAGATACAGAAATAAGAGAAACAAAACATCTTTCATTTAGCACCTACTCAAGAGCTTATGGAACTTGGGATATAGCTTTGAAGCAATATCTAAGTAGACATTATTTATGTGTTTACTTCTTTTTATAGAAAATTTAAAGCATAGATTTATAAAGAATAGAAAATAGTATCATAAGCCTCCATGTATTCATTTCCACCCTTAACTGTTATCAAGTTGAATCTTATTTCAACTCTACCCCCAACCATTTGCCACTTCTGAAGTAAATCCAAGATATTGTGTCACTTCACCTAYAAAGATTTTTGTAACAATAGTATTTAAATATCTTGCTCTTATTTTAGATCTGGGATTCCTACTTTTACCTTGCAGTCATTTTTATAAACCAGTTGTGTCTGCAGTTGGAGATGTTTGCACCTTCCAAAAAGAAAAAGGTGTTAGAAAAGTAAGTACCACTATGTGTTCAGGTGGGAATGTTAACTTCTAGAAGGTGCTTGTTCCAAATGGCTCACGAACCAAAAGGTCCATAACTAGAAATCACAAGTGGGATAGCAGTAACCAAAAGGGCAATAAGCAATTTCTTAGGGAAATTTCAATATTTTGAACTTATTTATACATTTTTATCCCAAGTCTTTCAGGATTCAAAATTATTATAGCATCAAAAAATATGAAACAGATTCATTTTATTGAAATATTTGTGTAAAGAATTGATTTAGAGACATAAAGACATGTACATTAGACATGTTTAATTAAAAACGTCTTGCCTTTTAATTGAGAATGAGAGATTGTATTCTACAGAAACACAAATACTTTGTTCTKGAGGTTCTGTGTCAGGATTGCTTTTTTCTATTTCAGGTACGGTGACATGCGGGTGACAATGGGTTGTGAGATTTTCAGCATGTGGCAGAACCTAGGTAAGTGATGAAAAGAGAAACCTCTACCATTGCACAGCTTATCATTGTACTTTCAAGCATACAAAGGAAGAAGGAAATTTACCAATGACAGCATTTGAAATCAAGTGTYGAAATCAATAAGAATATCTATGGGAAGTCATTGGCATTTTGACAGTGAGTAAAGTTACAACTAATTCTTTAAATTGGTGTCTGAAAAATCACCTTTCCTTTATGTGTTTCATTATTAATTAATGGTAAATTTTAGAATCTAGCATTACTCCAGCATTACATACCCATTATTTCTAGCAATGAGCTAGAGGGTAATTGGAGACTATAACTACTCAAAATGTCTAGAAGTCTAAATTGAGGCTATGAATCATCATAAATTTAGATTAAATTTCATGAAACATTGACTTAAACATCATCACTCTAAAACCCTTCAGACCATTGACCTGTGTCATAAAGAGTATAGCCAAAGGACTTTAAAAGCAGCTGTGGTTGCTAAGAGACTGTTAGATCCAATTTTGTTAAATCTGCCACAGCAGATAGAGCATATTATTCCAGCAAATTGATGGCATAGATCTGGTTGCACAAAAAAGAGTAATATTTTGGAAACAAATTGATTTAAAAGTCATTGACATCATTCTACAGATTTGTAACATTTAATTTGGTATGTTAACTATATAAGTTTCTAGTATTCATTAACAGTTATTGCATTTTAATTCCTCCTTGTGATTTATTAAAATGATTGACCTATTTAAATTGAATATATAATGATCTGAGCATACCTTCTTTCTTGGGCTCATCCAATAACARTTTGGAAATGGCAGAATTTGCTTTCTGAAAGTGAAAATAGAACCATCATCATTTTGCTTGAATTATTACAGAGTGATTTTTGACTAGAATATGTTTGTCCCTCAAATACACATAACAGTTTGAGGGTGCCTCATTATATATAATTGAGCCCTGTGTTCAGTGCTTGGTGGTGATTTCAGTAAAATAAATGAATGAATGAATGAATGAATGAATGAATGAATGAATGAATGAATGAATGAACGAACGAACGAACGAACGAACGAACAGATAAATAATACAAAAAAGGAAGTTATCATCTTCAAAATAACCTCCAACTATGAAAGGCCAGCCAGAATAAATCATGATCTGTCTTTAGATTCACTTCAAAATTAGCATTAAATGTTTGTGTTACTTGAAGAATGCTCCTCTTAGTCTTCATATTTGGTTGATTGTGTCCTTGTTTTTTCAAAAGCAGATCATGGACCTTATAAATCTATATTACAATTAGCATTAATTAAGCAAGCTAATTTCCAAAGTATTTTGCACTGAGGTGTTTAAAGAGAGTCATGATTATTTAGCTCTTTTCCTAGCCAATTATAAGATATAAGACATATTTGGTTTGTTACTAAAATATTAGGAAACATGGAAGGCTTTCTCTTTTGGATAAATCTGAGCATTACTGTGTGTAATGATTTCCACATAAATCTTTTGTCTGGGCCAGGATAGCTATGCACTGAGGCTTATGTCCCTTGGTCTGCAAAATTAAGCAGGCATACAAATTTTTTTTCTCTGTTTTGTCTTTGTTCCAAAACAAAAATATTTCTGCCTCCATTTTTTATGTTAAATTATTCTCTGTTTTTCTGAGAAATCTAGAGATGGTAGAAAGTCTCTTAAGCACATAGAGTTCATCATGCAGTATCTTTAGAACATTGCTACTCAAAAGTGGACCAGCAGCATCAGTCTCACCTGAAAGCTTATAAGAAATACAAATTGTCTGGTTCCACCACAGACCTACTGAGATAGAATCTTTGGGAGACCACYCAGAAATCTTAGTTTTAGCAAGTTTTCCAAGTATCTCTTACACACTTGACTAGAACCACCCTGCTTTATACACAATTACCCCCTTTCTCTGTTGTTAGAGCTSTAACGACTAGCTCTCTCATAGTCTAGAACTCTCTTAGAGAAGGTTCATTATATACACCTTTGAGTCCCCAGCATGATATAGTTCAAGAGTAGGGTGAGTATATATTTTCATTTCATTCCTTGGTTTCTGTATTATTTCCCAAGTTGTGTCCTAACTTTTCTGAAGCTTCCAAAACATGAAGTGAATTTTAAAGTTGCTAGTATATAACAGATAGAATTTGAATGTGTTCAAAAATATTAAAACCCCTTCTCCAGCATACATTTTTGCAAAATGATAAGAAAAATTAAATATTCAGTGAACTATTTAGACAATTTTATAAGCTTCAKATTGGCTTATATTACTTAGGAATATCAAAATAAACTAGTTATGGTATGTTAGTTATAACAAAAATATATGAGATATAATTTATATGCCTATAAGAATGTCATATTTAATATTTGAATGCGAAAGAATTTATACATTTTCATGTTTAATTTTACAGACCAGTAACTCATAAAGTATTGACTATGTGCAAGTTATTTGGGAAACAGGAAAGAGGGGTCTACAACTGTTAAAAACTTGCATTTTAAACTTTTTTCCGTTATATGYGGAACCAGAAGAAATCCTGATAAAGTTACTGTCTTTTAGTAAAGCTAGTAAGTTCRGGGGCTAGGGTTGTGGCTCAGCAGTAGAGCACTCACCTACCACGTGCAAGACCCTGGGTTCGATCCTCAGCACTACATAAAAATAAATAAGTGAAATAAAGGTATTGTGTCCAAATACAACTAAAAAATGAATATTAAAAAAAACAAAAACAAAAGCTAGTAAGTTTGTATGAGTTAATAAATTAACAGCCTCAGTACTTTTTAATAGAYACAAAGAACATTTACTTTTAGAAAATAAGTTGAGCACAGGAAATGTCTGGTCTGACGAAATACACTTTTTACCACCTGAAAGGCTTTTGCTGGTTGATCTAATTTGGAAATACAATTTTACTGAGCAATATTTTAAAATCAGATTTTTGTCTTTGGGGTTTAGCTCAGATGTGTTGAATTCTTATATATGCTGGCAATGACTTGGCTTTTTCCCTAAAGTGCTCWTAAATATAAAGTGGAGCAGATGTGGTGGCACACACCTATGTTCCCAGCAACTCAGGAAACTGAGGCAGGAGATTGCAAATTCAAGATGAACCTGGAAAACTTAGTGAGACCCTTTCTCAAAATTAAAAATAAAAAAGACTGGGGATGTGACTCAGTGATAAAGTGCCACTTGAATCAGTCCCCAGTACTGGCAGACATAAATAGAAAGCTGAAGGATGTTCAAATCTGGTCATTATATCCCCTAGAAAATAACCTGTGAGCAACTTTTCAACCTGTGAGACCTGGAACTACTTAAAATTTCCAGTTGTTGTTTTTAACCGTAGCCACCAAACTAGTAGACAAACTCAGTTGGGTGTGCTTGAAATATTTTGTAGTTCTAAACTTGTATAACAAGTTATCTGTAGTATTAAATGTTTTTTATGACTATTTACATACAGAAAGTTTAAATTTCTTCCTGAATATTTGGACCCTTTAATTATTTATTAAGCCAACAAAAGCAGGCGACACAGGCTGCACCTTCTCTTCCTCTTTCATCTCAGTCTTGGAGCTTTTGAGCAGTCAGGGTCAAAAGTGCCCATTTTCGACTTTATGGGGGTGAATCAAAAGGTTCTGTTTTTTTATACTTCAGCCCAAGAATATGAGGCCTGGTTGGGGACATAGGAAGAAAACCAGAAGGTTTCTTGTGTATAGACAACCAGTGGTACCCCACAGGTAAACAGGCAGGAATTTTTTTTTCCCCCTTAGGAGACAGCAGTGGTTCTTGGGGACAGAAAGGCTTTTGCTCTTCATTGAAACTTTGAATTATGCTCCTTGTCTCCATTGCATCTGGAGCACTCGACACAACAACATCATCCTATCACATGATTGAAATAATTTTTTAAGTATTTTTAATTGTAGTAAATTACACATAAAATTTGCCATCTTAACCATTTCCTAGTTCATTCCATGGTATTAAGGACATTCCCATTATAACACAATCACCTCCAACCACCACCCATTTACAGAATTCTTTTTGCTTGGCTAAACTGAAACTCTATACACATTAAACAATGACTCTTGGGTCCCCTTCCTCCCCAGCCCATTTTACTTTCTAGCTCTGAATTTGACTATTCTTAGTACTTTAAGTGGAATAATACAGTATTTGTCTTTTTGTGACTTTTGTTTCACTTAGCAGAATCCCTCAAGTTTCTTTCATGYTGTAATGTGTGTCCGAATTTCCTTCCCTTTTAAGGTTGAGTACTATTCTATTGTATGAATGTGCTGCATTCTCTTTATTCATTCATCYATCTTTGGATACATGATTGCTTCAACCTTTTGGCCATAGTGAATAAGGCTGCTATGAACATGGGTCTACAGGTATCTCCTTGAGACCCTGCTTTCAATTGTTTCAGGCATATGCCCASAAGTAGAATTGCTGGATCATGTGATCATCATTCTATKTTTAACTCAACCATCTACCATATCATTTTCCATAACTGCTGCAGCATTTTACATTCCCACCAAAAGAGCATAAGGGTTCCATCCTCACCAACACTTGGCTGCTTTCTAAGGTTGTTGTTGTTCRTAGTCAACATCCTCATGGGTATGAGGTGATATCAAAATATTTGTTTGGGTATAATAACTTATTTTTAAAGAATAAAGACCAACTAGTGATAAGTGAACACCTTTTCTTGACTATGCTGTTTCTCAGCATTTTCATTTTTCTAACTTGAAGGATTATAAATACTCTGTCAAGAGAAGGGGAAAATACAGATTTCCCCCCCCCAATTTTATCTGTTGGTATTTGTATTGKTATGAATAGTCTGCAGAGAGGTTAGACTTCACTACTGTGTCCCACCTTTGGCCCTCATCTTACTGCAAGGTTAAGTTTTTTCTCTATTTTTAAATGAACTCAYATTCCTACTAAATATAAAGTGAGCTCTTTGTTCCACATTTGCAAACACAGCATCTTGTAACTGCTGTAGAAAAATCAATACTTCCCTAGCAGGCTGTTCTGTGTGCAT